AGAACAAAATTATATAATCGATGATGGATATGAGGAATGGTTTATCCGTCTCATTGATATCTCTAAAATGATCCACTAAAATATGAATATATAAATAGATAGATAAATAAAAAGGATAAGTACAAAGGCAATCATTGTAAAACCAAAAGCTTTGTTTGTTGTCATTCTAAATTTAAGTCGATGGGTTTTGTTTAATCAAATATTAAGACAGAGTTTGGTATAGAATGATTATTTTAAAAATTATGATAATTCACATATAATAATTAGATTAATATGTTTGATAAATACTTGATAATTTTATATAATGATGGTAATTTTAGATCATAAAAAATGATTAGATCATTAATTTAGAAGGTGATTTACTTTCCAATCAAGAAGATAAAAAATTTTTATCATTAAAATAAAATGATGTATAAAATTAACAATAATCAATTATACTAATTTAATATATAAATAAAAATCTTGTTATATCTTAAAATTGTAATTATTTTATATTATAAAATTTAAAATTTTAAATTAATATTTATATAACAAGTTCAAAATGATTTGTATATATATTTTTCACTTTTTAATATTTATATAATATAAGTTTTTCTTTTTTATTATGAATTTGATAGATTAGTTTTGTTTTCTATTTTAAATATTTTTTTCATAATTTATATTATAAAAATAAAATTACCTATCAATAAATATATTTATTAATTTAATTATATTTTATTATAAAATAAATAAATATTACTAATATCTTACAAATTATTATTTTTAAACAACCAAAAAATTATTAATTTATGTAATTATTACAATATGTATAGTTATTTTTATACTTTTAAATAAAATAATATTTAATTTTTAATAATATCAAACATGATCTTTAATTTTTAAGAATTAATCATTATTAATCAAATAAAATGATTTTAAATCATAAATGATAAAATTATTTTGGTAATAAAACTAGTAGTTATATTATCATATTGATTTTATAAAATATAACAAACCTTACCTAAAAGTATTATCCACATTTCGTTGCAAGAAAAAAAATCATTTATTTAACAAGAATTTTTTTTCAAATTTAAAAACAAAAAGATAAATAAAAAGATTACTCAAATTAAAAGCAAAAATGCTGAATGAATGAACTAAACACATCAACACTTGAGTTTTTCCTCCTTTTATTTATAATACGAATTTAAACAAATAAATTCATTTACTTTTCATGATATTTATTTTGATCAAAAGCTTCTTATTTTTTAGCCATCCAAATAGTACTCGAAATGGACGTATGGGTCACCCTCTTTTCTCATGACATCATGGCTTTTCAAAAAATGTCAATCTAATAAGTTCCAAACCCCACCACCACCCCCCTCCTTTTTTAAAAGAATCCCAAGAAAATCTCATCAAAATCTCTCTTTCCTTGTATACTTTCTTTTTCCTCCCAAGAAAAAGAAAAAAATTTGTTTCTCCCTTTCTTCCTCTGCTTCTTCTTCTTCTCCTTCTCCTTCTTCTCACCCTCTACTTCCTTCACTTCGCCCCTTTACCCTTCCCCTGCAATCCTCCCTTAAAATTACCAGAAAATGCTAAAAAAAATAACAAATATATGCTTATCTCACCTGAAACACTGTCGTTTAACTTCAAAGTCGAATCACCCTTTAATTCTTCTTTCATCCATACCCCCTTCATTACTCAAACTCCGATTTTTTAGTATAATTTGACTTTTTACTTTTCGAAAAAAATTGTTTATAAGTAAATTATTTACCAATGATCATAATATTACTTATAAATAATATTATATAAATAAATAATATTATATTAATAAAATTATATATTATATTAATAAAATTATATTTTAATAAATAATATAGTAATCAATATTATTAATTAATTTAATAAATATTATAATAGTATATTAATAAATAATATATTAATATATTAATAAATAATATAAAGAATAAAAAATAACTTTATTTTAAGTATTTTTTATATTAACATAATATTTTAATATTAAATATTATTATTAAATATAATTATTTTTTAATATTAATAATTTTAATAATAAATAATTTTAATATATTTTAATAATAAATAATTTTAATATTTTAATAGTTATATTAATATTATTTGAAAAAAATTAAATTTTTTCAAAAAATCAAACAACAAAAAATATTTTTTATTAACCCATCCAAATAATTTTTTTTTCAAATAAAAAAATATAAATAATTTTCAAAAATTATTTTTAAAAATAATTTTTTACGTAATCTTATTCTTTCTGTTAGAACTGTTAGAAATAAAGAACGGAACAAGTAGACGTGTCACTCTACTGTTCATGGGCTGTCCAATATGCATCAGAGCAGTCCTGGGAAGAGTCCAAATAACCCATCTTTCAAAATTTGGAAAAATCTGAGAAATGCAATGTGCCTGTCTAATGGTTGTCCGACAAGGCATGGTGCCGTGCGGATATGTGGATATCTTCTTCCTTTTTTTCTTTCAATCAGTTTGATACCGAATATTTCTTTTTCAGTTGAGATGATGTTCAACATGATAATTAGTACATACAACTGTCCCTTTCTTTTCTTTTTTTTTTTTTTCTGATGAAGTGGGAGCTAAAAGTTTGATTTTGTGAGATTTAGTTTAAATAAATTAAATTATACAATAATAATAATAAACATTAAACTTTTTTAAAAAATTTATTATTATTCTTTAGGCAATTTAATATTTTAAAAACATTAAATAATAACTTTATTACTAATAATATACAAACTAAGTTATCATTCGATTAGTGATTTTTCATTCGGTTACAGAAACGAATCTTCAATATGTTTATTGTTGAAAATGCTTTCTAAGATGGAACCTATGCTAATTTCAACCACAAATGAATTAGAATGTAAACAAGTTTCAAAATGTATATCATTGAAAATGATAACTGGTAGAACCAATGCCAGCATCAACAACAAATAAATTAGTAAGTAAACAAATTTTCAAAATGTTTATCATTGAAAATTTATACTTTTTTACTGTAATAATGATAACTGATAGAATCAAAGCTTGTTTCAACAACAAATAAATTAGAAAATGAAAACTTTTAAAACTTTTTAAATTTTATGTAAAACACAGAATTTCAACAACAAATAAATTAGTAAGTATACAAAATTTCAAAACGTTTATCCTTGAAAATTTATATATTTTTTTATTGTAATAATGATAATTGATAGAATCAAAGCTAGTCTCAACAATAAATAAATTAGAAAAATGATGACTTTTTAAATTTTATCTAAAACACACACACAATTTCAAAATTGTTTTAGGCCACCAAGCCCCGTATAGCTCCACCCCGGATTGCTATGAGCTTTGGTTGTCATGACGCACCAATTTTCTTGGTAGCCAGGGTCCACTGTGTGATTAGCAACAATTGGTTTCCCTAATTTATTAGGATCTCCTCTTATGCTGGAGTGTTCTTTATTGAGCCCAGTTCTAGAGGTATTGGAATCTGGAAATATCGATTTATCACTCACAGCATTGCAGTCGTAAGAACCTTCAATGCTAATGCTCTACTTTGCCATCAATTGCCCACCTTCTCAAACTATAATTCATGCCAATAAGCCTCGACAAATCAAATTCTGGTGGCCGGGATAGTGTGGTTATTAGTCAGCTCCCTCTACGAAATGGTTCATGTGAGTACTAAGAAACAAATTGCACCTTTTGGTAAAAATTATTCTGATTTGAAAGTATATTAGTGGATTCACCTTCAGCTTCCATTGATTTTCTGCTCCATCATTGGTTCAAGATATTGTGTTTTAAATATGGTTTCTTTCTTGTCAAGGTAGGTTACATCTGGGTCTCCATGGGAAAGTGTTCATCCTCTCTGCATGGTATTTGAAATAAGTCAAATTTCCTTTATATGTTTAGAATCGAATTTTGTGGGATTTGATTGAGATGGCGTTATCTCAATAATTTTCTTTGGTACTATTATATTCTAGGTTGACGTGCTTGATTGTCATAAGTCGGCAAATCATCACAAATAACGTAAACAAAATAAATTAATACATTTATGAACATTTATTTTTTGCGAGTAGTCCAAACCATCAGACACTTTGATATTCTCTTTAATTAATACAACTCACAGAAAATAAATGTTCATGAGTTTTTTTATATTTAAGATTATAATAAATTCTGATAAGTACAATTAGGAATCTAATATTTTTCCGTGACGTGTTTGTTACTTATTGTATTTATGTTATTTGTGAACATTCACATAACTTTCAGACAAAGTAACAATATTCTTAACTAAGAGCTTTGAGGAGAATTGAATGTTGGTTTTTAAAAAGATGTTAACACACCAATTCCTTTTTTTTTTTTTTTTTTATATATATATATACATATAAAGGGGGTTATAGAGTGAGATAAGAAAAAATGTAGCAGACAGTGGGATTTAAATCCTAAATCTGATAAATGTCACTACTTAAAATAATTATATGAATGAATTTTCATTCATATTTTCTTATGAGAATGCTGTGTGATGGTCCTGCTCTTTATGATTTACTACTACTAATATATTTGAACCTGGTTTGAAAACCATTCTTATTAAAATGAGGCCATTTCTTTAATTTTCATATTAAAAATTAAGAAATTTGTTTAATTAAGCTGATTGGTTGTGCCTCTTCAGGACTTGCTGGTTTAAGTGATTTTCATTTTCGGTAAGGTATAGTCAGCTACCACAAATCTTTGACTTGCTTCGTCCTTTGTTCATGCTACTAATTACTATTTTAAAAGAAATTAATCTAAACTATGTTGCTCGCCCTTTCGTCTGAAAATTTTCATTATGTTCTGTTTTAAGTTGTGAAGTGTTTTTCATAAGAAGGCTAAGGAAAAAAGATAAAAACAAGTAGTAACAAATTTCAAACCGTGCACAAATTTACAACTTTAACTTTACACTTGGTTTTGTATGGTGTTCTGGCTGCTGACCTTTCTGATGCTAATTTTCAAGGTACAGAGCTGAATTCTAGCTTTGACTACCTATAGCTATGTATCAAACCTTCAGGATCTACCGGTGCTATGGTCACAATGGTTTCCTGCACTGGAGGAGGTTCTGATGACCTAGCCTGCCTACTGCCGCCAACAATCTTTTGGCATGTCTCGATGAGGCAGTGCCTGCATTTAGGGCAAGACGAGTGGCAGCTCAGCCACTTATCGATGCAACGAACATGGAATCCATGGTTGCACTTTGGTAGAAGCCGCACGCGGTCACCAGGTGTGAAATCTGATAGACATATTACACACTCGGAGTCTAAGCCAGGCAGCTTCAAGTCAACAGAGTAGTTTACTGTTGGAAAGGTCTTTAAGGCTTTTCGCTTGACCCCTGTGTTTGCTAACCGAGCTGAGCTGCTGGCGAGGGATTCTGAGGCTACCAAACTTGAGCACCTTAATGTACACCTAATAATGAAATTCAGTGCTAGTGAGCAAATTAGGGCACACAAGAGGACCGACAGAACCATAACAATGTTTGTATCGAAGCCGCTATTACCAGTGTAAGGATCTGAAGAATTGAGGTTGTTTTCAGGGTTTGTAGAAGCTGCTGTAGTTAGGGTTGGAAAAGATGGGGTATGCAGCAGCAACCTTCTAGAGTGGAATTCTCCAAGCAAACCTTGAAGAAGTTGAGTGGATATGAAAATGGACATGGTTTGGCTGGGTGAGTTGTGAGGTTCAGATGGGTAATTCTTCTTGAAGGTAGTTGGAGCATGGAATTTATATAAAGGGAAAGTTAGGGGTTTGAATTTCCATTTTGAGCCTTATGATAAGGGTTTTTTTTTTTTTTTTTTTTAAGTTTTTATAAAGAAGATTAGAGTTTGAAAATAAAAAAAAGGGATTATAAATGTTGAGATTCAAAAATCAAATATGCTAAATGCTAAATACTACTTTTAAAAATAATTGCATGAACTAATTAATTGAATTAAATTCTAAGATTTATGATTAGTTTTATTTTTAATGAATTATAGTTGAGCATATTCTTGGTGGTTTATACCATATAGTATATATATTTTTTTATGTGGGATTATAACAACCATATAGTTTCTCCACTGACTTTATGAAATTCACTAGGCTTTCTTATCCAATAGAAACCATGCATCCAGTGGCATAGCCACATATAAAATATGGGTGAATTGATCGACTCAAATTTTTAAAATTTTAATTTACTACGAGTGTTTTAATAAATTTTTGTATAATTTACTAATATTGAACAACATTTTAATAAAAATCTAAAAGAAGAGAAAAGGTTAAAAACTCTTGTATTTATGTTATATTATATATGTGATTATAATTTTTTTTATTTGATACAAATTGATTATTAATAAGAACATATGATTAAAATGTGAAATATGTCATATTTTCAAATATATTATAAAAAAGGTATATTGATACATAAAGCTCTCGCTATTATTATAAAAAAATTTTTTGTATATTGATGTTTGGTTATATTAATGATCAAATTCTGTTAGTAAAAGAGACTTTTATGGATGAATTTTTAATACTATTAGAATACCATACTTATACCATACTTATACAAATATTTTGTTTAACCGTTGGTATAAATAAACTTTTTATAACAGTATGTGATTATCTGTCAGTATAGATATATTATATACTAACTGTTATTAACATAACTGTCAGTATAGGCTCAAAACAAAAAAAAAAAAATTATTAGCTTGCAAAAAATTGAATGAGACTATTGAAGGCATTTTTGATCGAAAACGCCTTCAATAATCCATTCAAAAAATTTTAGAGATGGATTATTGAAGGCATTTTCGACTAAAAAAAACTTCAATAATCTATACAAAAATTTTTTTGTATGGATTATTTACTGACGATTAATTTTCGTTAGTAAAAGAGACTTTTACTGATGAATTTTTAATACCGTTAAAATATACCATACTTATATCAATATTTTATTTAACCGTCGGTATAAATAAATTTTTTTTGATGGTATATGACTATTCGTCAATATAAATATGTTATATATTGATGATTATTAAAGTAATCGTAAATAACTGTCAGTATAGGCTAAAAAAAACTATTAGCTTACAAAAAATTGAATGAGATTATTAAAGTCATTTTTGGTAAAAAATGCCTTTAATAACCCATTTAAAAAATTTTAGAAAGGGATTATTGAAAGCGTTTTTGATAAAAAAACATTTTCAATAATCCATACAAAAAATTTTACAAAGGATTATTAAAAGCGTTTTTGGTTAGAAACATCTTGAATAATCCTTTACAAAAAATTGAATAATCTATTAACAAAAACACTTGAGTAGTTTAATTGGTTAGAGTATATGGGTATTAACCATAAGGTCGTAGGTTCAATCATTCCTTATAGCGTTTTGAGGATTTTTTAAGGAATTATTGTAGGCTTTTTTGGCTTGAAATGTTATGAATAATCTCTTACAAAAATTGAATAAGATTATTTAAGACATTTTTAGTTAAAAATGCCTTGAATAATCCCCTTCAATTTTTATAAGAAAATTATTCAAGGCATTTTTTGTCAAAAACACCTTGAATAATTTGTTAACAAAATACTAGAGTAGCTTAGTCGGTTAGAATATATAGCTATTAACCATAAGATCGTAGGTTCGATCTTTTCTTCTAACATTTTAAGAGTTTTTCAAATGATTATTGAAGGCTTTTTTAGCTTGAATAATTCGTTACAAAAAATTAAAATGGATTATTCAAAATATTTTTGGTCAAAAATGCCTAACGCCTTAAATAATCCATTAACAAAAACACTAGAGTAACTTAGTTGGTTAGAGCATACAGCTATTAACCATAAGGTTGAAAAATCATCAAAATGCTAGAGGGAGGGATTACACCTATGACCTTATAGTTAATAGCCGTATACTTTAACCGACTGAGTTACTCAAATGTTTTTGTTAACAGATTATTCAAGATGTTTTTTACTAGAAATGCTTTGAATAATCCAAAAAAAAAAAATGATGGGCTTATGAATTTAAATCATTTTATTTACCTTCACTTCCCATCGACTCTACATATTTAATCTCCACTTTCCACCAACTCTCTCCACTTGTCACTCTACAAACTTAAACCCATCGAAACCGATTTTATTTTAGAGCTGAATCAAAGTTGAAGCATCAAGGCTCTTGTCATTTCTCAAAGGTATTTTTCATTTTCTACATTTCAAGTTTATGTCATCGAACATGCCTTTTTTTTGTATTGTTGGCTGTATTAAATGAATTAAGGCTTAGTCTTTCTCACATCGAAAAGTAAAAGAAGGCTTGAAAATGTTATTAGCGACATTGTTTTTGTTAATAAAATAGTTTTAATAGGAAAAACAAATGAAAACTTCATCTGTTCTATTGTGGATTGGTAGCCTCTTAATAAATGTGACATTGAAACATGTTCTTTTCTTAATCTAGCAAGCAACTTATCCTTAGACCTCTCGGATAAAAACATCATAGAAAAAAAATCTTTCTTTTTGAAATTTTAATGCTTATTTCATTTTTATAGGAATTTCTTAAATAACAATCTAGCTTATCAAGAAATGAATTGTATGGCTTCGGCATTGGAACAAGAGTTGCAGCGGATCAATATGCATCTGATGTGAACAATCTTCAAAACATTGTTCATAATATATATAAAGGATTTGAGGTTCAGCTATTAGTAATAGCACGATGAGGATTCTTTGATGCAAATTTCGAGCACTATGTTTGTAGACATTCAATCATAGATATTAGTGTTCTTTTTTTTACTAGATTTGGTATAATGATGTTAGTTCTTGACTTATTTTAAATTTGTGAATTATAAAACAATTTGGTTATTGTTTTATTTCAAATGTTATTAAATATTTTTACTTTTTTGTTTATTTTTACTTTATATGAAACCATATCATATTATGATTATAAATAAATTAATGTTAATAATTGAAAATATAATTCAAAAAAAAAATTTTATCGATGCCTTAAAATTTATATCAACATGTTTTACTATTGAAATATTTCAGGCTATACTGACAGTCTATACTGATGAGCATTAACTACTGGTATATGTAAGAAAAATTAAAACATACAAGTCTCTACTGAAGGGTGTTAACCGTCGATAAAAGTTATAATGGTTTAACATACAACAGATGCTATACCAATAAATATACATTTATTGACTGTTTTAAACCATATGCACATTTCTGTAAGCTATTTCGATATCTTAAAAATTGTCAATATAAGTCTATACAGATAAAGGATATACTAAAGATTAAAAATTCATTAGAATATATATTTTGACCGTCGATATAAGGTTTGTGGTGTTATATTGACGGATTTTGAAGTTTTATCAATACTTTTTTTAGCATCATTATATGTCAAATTTCTTGTAGTGTGTACATAAGATCTGCAGAATAATCTAATGTACATATAATTTTTTAACTTATACTTAATTGAAAATATTATTTATTTGTTAATGAAATCTTATCTTAACAATAAGAGGAAGCCTTCAAACCTTTGAATCTTTAGGTTCAAGTTTCATCAAATGTTGGTTTTATCTAAAAGAACATATTGATTGATTATTGATTGTTAATTTGATTTGCTAATTGGAATAAATGAACAAACCATATACATACATTCGTTCATTCATATTCTATTCGTTTATACCCTTACATGTAGCGGCATAACTAGAAAAAATTTTCAATGGGTCATATTTCAACTTTGATTATATAAATACAATATTATATATACATTACATATTGAAAAAAATATGTTAAAACCGAAAGTTGTAAATTTAGAAAACTATAAAATATATTATCTCATTTGTATTCAGTTTAATTAAATTAAATGAATTTGTTCGTGACTATTAAACAAATATGTTTATGAACATATATAAATGAATATGTTCATGAGAAATAAACAAATCATGATCAAATAAGTTTAAACAAATAAACCTAAACAAATCTTAAAATATGATTAGGCTAAAAGATAAAAATGTAAAATTATTATTATTATTATTATTATTATTGTTGTTGTTGTTGTTGTTGTTATTGTTATTATAAGCAAACAACAAATGGACAATAAACAAATAAAAAGAAATGAGTTTTAAATGAATTTTAAATGAATTTATTTACGAATATAAATGAACTAAATAGATCTTTATTTGTGTTTTGTTGGTTTAATAAATGAATATAAAAATGCTATTTAAGATCATTTGTTAAACTTAATAAATGAATATAAACGAGTAAAAATCGGATATATTCACGAATGGTTAATCGAAGCGCTACTCATTTATGTTTCTATTTGCATGCATCCCACTTTTTGTAAAGAAGGTGCCATGTGGTTGTTGCCTTTCATGATTATGGTAACAGTTAGGTGACTATCAATTTTTTTTAGTTTGGTGTGATTAGCTACTTATTAAAACTTACATTTTTAATAAAATCTCAAAATTAATTAAAATTTATTAAAATGCTAATTTTTGGGTTTGCGAAAACAATTTAAGTTTGGAAGTCAATTACTCATGAGGAAGGATTAGTACTCCCATAGCGCCCATAAAAAACAATACTAATTAATTATGTATTATCCTTTAATTTTAATAAAAATATCTTAATTTTGGTATTTAAAATTAATTTTCTTTATTTTCTTTATTGTAATAAAAAAACATATTTTTATTTTTAGTTGTTTGCTAAAAAATTAAGAACCTTGTATATTGAAAAATCTCTAAAAATATTCCAATGCTCTGACAATGTTAAGAGAAATTTTCTCACTTAAGGATTTCTTAAAACTCACTACTCAGACTTTTCAAGTATCTCATCCTTGATGGTTCATAATATTTATATTTACTAAGCATATAATAAAATATGATGTCTATAATTTAATCCAAATAATATTTTCTAAAAAATTTATTTCTTATTCTATTTATTTTAAAAACAAAAATTTTTTATAAAAAATTATTCTAAATACTCCAATACATTGGTAATATTTTAGATAAATTTCTTACCTAAAAATTTCTGAAGAATCATTACTTGAACTTATTTAGTATCTCATCATAGGAAAAATCTTCATTAATTATTAATATTTCATTTGAAAAGTTATGCAACAATATAATTATCCATAAATAAATCTATTTCCTAAAAGATGCGTTTTTTTTTTTTAATAAATATTCTTATATTTTTACAAGAAAATTATTTAAATTAAAAGAAAAAATATTCTTGTATTGAAAAGAGTTTCTAAAAATTTCATTATTTTAATAATTTCTAAAAACTTCTCACTTAAGAAATTATCAAGAATTACTACTCAGACTTTTTGAAATCTCATTATTCGAAGACTTTTATTTAATTTTAATTTCGTTACATATATAAATATAATTTCACAAAGTTAAATTAAAATTATAACCTTAGTCATTTAATATATTTTAAAAATGATAATAATACTAATTTTATTTTTTATTATCAATGATTTAAAATAATTAAATATATATCTATTAAAATATGCATACAAAAATCAACGAGTAACTAAATTAGTTTAAAATAAATTACCATAAGTTGGGTCAAAACCTAATTTAATGGAAGAGTCCAAAGTAAGTGGGTTGAGGCTTAGGCTTTGTTTATGGCCTTATTCGGTGATGGGTCTAATAGGTATGGATCAGATCCAAATAAAGCTTGAGTTGTGCGTAGGCCACTAGATGAGTAGGTCAATTGGGTCAAATTTAAAGCAGGTCAGGCAACGAGTTTCAAGTCTGACTTTACGTGGTTCGGGTTTAACCCAATAGCTTGTCTTTTTTTTTTTTTTTTAAACTCAGTATAAAAACTCATTCTTTTTTTGTAATTCATTTTCCTTCTTTGTTTAAAAAAAAATTTCTCTCCATCAAAAACAAATCACAAGCCAAATGCTTCCTTTAGCCATGCCCAGTTTCTAGCATTAGCCCATCATTACTGTCACCATCATCATCGATTGTCGATGCTGGCCAGCATCATTTGAATCCCGGATTTTCACCATGGCTTTTTCTTGGCCTTTTCTTCTCAAATCTCCAAATATATTTTTCAAAAACACCCTAGATTTTCCTCGATCTGAGTGTGAAGGTCAAAACTTTTTATGGTTGGAAAACACCTTTGCTGTCACCTAAACCAGCCAAAACCAAAGTATGTTTTTATCAATTCCATGACTTTCCAAACCATGGTTTCAAATTGCTCAGAAGGCTCGTCGCCATCGTCATTCTCTTTAAGTCGCCGCTATTTCTAATGGTGTTGATGGCCTCCCCTTTTATCTTTCCTTGTTTCCCTTTTTTTCTTTACAAATCCAAACCAATTTTTTTTAAAAAAAAAAAACTCCAAAGCCTAATTAATCTCAAGAAAACCAAAACCTCCACCCTAAAATTTTTTTTGTATCTTTGGTTTCTTCTATGGCTTACCTTTTTGGGAAATGAGGTTAATTTTTTCTTGTTTTTTTTTTTTTTTGGGTTTTGCGTATTGATGGTAGTATGGGTATTTGGTTAAAACTTTCAGGTAGTGATTGAAATTGAGGTGGGTGTTGAGTAGAGGTTAAATGGTGGTGGATGGTTGATGGTGTTTATCTCGGGTTGGGGGATGGCTAAGGGTGATAGTGGTTGGTGTAGCTAAAAGTGGTGGTCTCGATGACGAGTTTAATTTTGGTTTTTTTGTTGAAGGTTCAAGAGTAGTGAAGTTTACGTGTTTGAGGGTGGATTGTCAATGGTGAATAATGGGAAGGTGGCCGAATGGGAATCATAGCTTTTTTACTTTTAATTTTTGCTGTGTTTTGAGGCTATGAATATGGTAGGATCAGATTATAGTGAAAGGAATTTTTTTTTTTAATGGAAGAGATTGGTAAAGCCAAAATGGTAAAAAGGATTAGGATGTTTAATGTTGAAAGCTTTTTCCTTGAAAAATGGCTGGATTGTTTTTGAAAAAAAG